GAGTTGCTTGGATCCCAGCTTACTCCCTTGTGTTGCGTGGCACTCTCCAGCAATGCTTCCATTAGGATAACTTTCCAGGAATATAACTCATGCTGTTATTAAGAAAGCAGGTGCAAGTTACGTGATGGGGAAAAGGAGGATTAGGAGAACATTCGGCATTGCATTGTTGGAGCCATTTGGAGCACCCACTCTTCCAGTGTGGGAGGCAAAGCACTAAGTATTTTACAAGACACCATGGTCACTTTTGTGTCGTAAGTCAAGAGTAAAACAGAGCAAACTTGATGCTGGGTTTTGCTTTAAGCATTTGGCACTCACCGAGTTCCGTTCAATTACTGTCCCTGTTTCATGCGTGAAGAGGCTGAAGCACAGACAAGTTGTGGGACTTTCCCAAAGTTACACTGCTACAAGGCGCCCGACTGCTCGTGTGGGCCCAGGTGTTCTGGTTCTGGACTTTGTGTTGTTCACCACAACCCCGGGGCTGCTCCAGAGAACCCAGAAATAGCCTTCTACACAAGCTGTGCTGATTTCCCATCCTGGTGACCACTCATGTGGGATTTATCCAAGGGACATGCAAGTGTATGTCCACACAGCATGTGCAGGAATGTCCGTGCACCTTAATTCTTGACAGTTCGGCATTTTCGTCTTGTGTGGAATGGTTAGTGTAGCTGTGCTATAGTTACAGAGAAGAACGCTATTCACCGATGGCATTAATCAGAAGCTAGACAGCCAAGTGGCTGCACACCTGAAGCTCTGCTGAGCAGAAGACGTCCTACACAAGGAGCACTGGCTTGTGTGACGGCCTGGAGGTGACCTCAGGGGCACCCAGGGACAGACCCACATGGTTGGGATGGTTTAGAAAAGGAGATGAGAAATCTGGATGATAGCAGTGCTCTAGATTTTACTTAGCCCAAACCCACTGAATGATGTACAACAAAGACCTGCCCATTTTCTGATGTGTGTTTATATCTCAATCACACACACACAAAAATAAATAAAATAGGAAAACTCTCTCGTTCGTTTCTGGGCGCTCACCTCTGCTGCCGGACTGCGGTTTGTGGGAGGAGGACTGAAGGCTGTCGGTGTTCCTTTCCAATGATCAAGGTGTCCTGAAGGGCTTTCCCAGGGACGGTGCAGTTTCCCCTGCGTCTTCGTAGCCATCCTTCAAGCCCCGGTGGTTCCGTATTGGGCTCCAATCCAAATAGACAGCCGGTGGAAACCCCCAGCTGCTCCTTGGGAGAAAGACTGGACTTTCTACCACGTCAATGGTCACCACCAAGGAGGCCCACAGGGGGCGCTATGAGTCAGCCTTGCCTGGATGGCGGTGCGTTTGGGGATTTTTGGAGGATTTCATAGGGTGCTGTGCCTCCTTCCCTCAGCCAGTTTCCTCCTGAGGGACAAGAAGGCAGTTTTCAAACGTTCACCTCCATGTTGCAGTCACAAAAGTTTGTGCGCCTACCTAGGGGTGCCCCTGCGCCAGGGTCCTGTCGACCGTTTTCCCTGAAGGAGGCTCACTTAGGCAGAAGCTATGCATGCCGTGGTGGATGCTGCCAAATTGTTTTCCATAAGTGCTTTGTCAGTTGCCCTACTCTGTGACCACACGTGGACCCTCTCCTCTACGACCACGGTGTTCTCAGCCTTTTTCCATGTCTCAGAGTAGATGGGCCAAGGCTCCCAACTTGAAATTATAAGAAGAAACAAGGTTTGAGTTTCCCTAATGGACACACCTTTGCCTCTCGTGTTGAGCACATCCTGGCTCGTAGTCCCAGAGACTGCAAAGCCCGCTGTGCGCTTCCCTGCAAGCTAGCAAACACTTTCTAACTGTTTTTAACGGGACTTTAGGACAGTGGTCGCCATCTGCGTGACAAAGCGGGTGCGAAGTCAGTACCTGTTACAGGCACCTCTTGATGTCACAGATGACATCCTGTGACAGCCGTCACCACTCACCCTGCGCCCTGTAGCTCACTAACTTTAACAACAGCTCTGGTGGCCTAGTGGCTCTGTGTGAGGCTGCTACCAGCAAGCTCAGCAGTTCGAAACCACCAGCCACTCTGTAGAATGATGAGGCTTTCTACTCCACGAGGTTGTTTTGTGCCATCAAGTCGGTTCCGACTCAGAGTGACCCTAAGGGCAGCAGCAGGAAGCCCTCCCTAGTTCGTGCCTTCCTCGCAGCCTTCCTCAGTTTGAGTGATGGCGTGCAGCCACCGCGTCCTTCCCTCTTGTTGGGGCCTTGCTCCTGACCCCTCTTGATGTCCTCCTCCAGAGACTCGTCTTTCCGGACAACGTGTCCGAAATACACGAGCCAAAGTCTTACGTTCCTTGCCTCTAAGGAGCATTCTGCCCACACTTCTTCCAAGACAGACTGGTTTGTTCTGTTGACATCTCTTGGCACTTCCGGTGTTCTTCGGCAGCACGATCATTCAAATGCACTGATTCTTCTTAGCCTTTCTTAGCCGATGCCCAACTTTCACCTGAATATGAAGCAGTTGAAAATATCAAGGCTTGGGTCAGGCACACCTTAGTCCTCGAAGTGACATCCGTGCTTTTCAGGAATGTAAAGAGTCCTCCAGCCGATTTATCCCTTGCACTGCGTTCTTTGATCTCTTCTTTGATGCTACCATGAGCGTGGATTGTGGACCTGAGCAAGATGAAATCCTTGACAACTTCAGTCTTTTCTCCATGACCTGTTGGTCCAGTGGTGCGGATTCTGGCCTTCTTCACACTGAGCTGGCATCCACGCCGAAGGCTGCAGTCCTCGGTCTCCATCGGCAAGCGCTCCAAGTCCTCTCCACTGTCAGTGAGCATGACGTGTCTCCTCCCATACAGGTTGCCAAGAAGCCTTCCTCTAAGCCGGATGCTGCAGTCTTCGTCAGAGAGCCCAGCTTCTCTGTTCATCTGCTCAACTGACACCAGAATGATTACTCAGTACCACAGAGACGGGGATTTCAAACACCTAGGATACTCACATCAGAGGAGAACATGGAGGATAATTACATAATGCAGAGAATCAGGCCCAGCCAAGTTGACCCAGATTGGGGGGGCGGGGGACATAATTTAGTTCATAATAAACGGGTCATACAGTCTTTGTGCCTTCTGTGACTGATTCATTTGACACAGCATAACGTCTTTCAGGTTCATGCACGATGTAGAATGTATAAGATCGCATGTAATCTGTATCATTTCTCTTTATACGAAAACCACACTGACATTGAGTCGATTCTGAAGGACCACCCTAAATGACAGACTAGAACTGCCCCTGTGGGTTTCTGGGACTTTTCTACATTTACGGAAATAAAAAGCCTCATCTTTCTCCGGCAGAGTCACGGCTGGTTTCATACCGCCCACCTTGTGGTTTGGAGCCAACAGGTAACTCAGTATACTACTACCAGCACGCTTCATTTCTCTCTCGCTCAGTAATATTCCATCATGTGGACCGTCTCTGAGATCCAGTCTTAAGATGGAGGTCATGGTTGACCTTGGTAGCTATTGGGACGTTTTCGTTTCAATCAAACCCATTGCTAGACTTCGACACCCCTCCTGTGAAAGGTCAAATGCAGGAGAACGCTGGGACTGTACCCTGCCTCATATGTTACCCTGTGTAACCGCCTTGTCCCCTTCGCGCCTGTGATGTATTTGTAATGATGTTTTGTGGATAGGCACTTCCCTCCAGAGAAACAGGCAACAGATCCAGGGTCCAGCAGAGTCTGAGAAATGCCAGTGGAGTCCAGGGGGTAGGGGGTTGACCAGTAGCGTCAGGGGCACTCTCCTGAGGAGGACCGCCCATGACAGAGCTTGTGGTCTGCTCCCTGGGATTGCTCCCCACCCCTCCTTTCTCTGGAGTCACCGCCCTGCAGCCTCCTCAGGGGTTTGATTGGATTTATAACAGCTGCAAGTCTGTGGAATGTTTTGCTAACTGCTGCGGGTGACACTGCCTACATGAAGGCCACGCCTCCTTTTGTTAACCCTTCCTTGATCCTCACTCTTCCACCCACTTGTTCACTCTTGGACTTTGCACTTTGACATCCTTTAAATTCATTAAGAACTTTTTCCCAGGCCCCGGGGACTTTAGAGAACTCTCTGATTAGCCAAAGTATGATTCTGTTTGACCTACGTGATGACAGTGTACTTGATTGGAGTCTCGGAATTGCTATTTTTTTCCCTCTATTTAATTTTATTCCTCTTGGAAAATACACACAGCAAAACCAACTCCCTGCTCACGGTTTCTGGCCATAAAGATCATTGACATTGATGGTAATTGTTTTAAAATCAAAGTAATAAGTTATGTTCTCAGACTAAGGATGTAATGGGAAAGAATAATAATTATTAGAACATCCACTTCTTAGAAGAAAATAAATACCTCCTCACAGACCTCGGGGCCCTGTGAGCGCTGGACCTCCGTTGGCAGTCTGCTCCCGCACCACTTTCCTCCAGACCCGGCTCTGCCCTCACGGTGGCTTCTGGCTCCTCGAAGGGGCCTGGCGCTTGCCCGCCTTGGGCATCGCTCATGTGCTTCCCGGCGTGGGGGGCTCCTCAGATAGCCTTCCTCTTAGGGCTCTGTGAAGTCGCATGCACACCCTTGCCTTCCGAGCAAGGTCTTCTGTGACCACTGAGGCCCAAGACACCTTCCTCGAGGGCTCCACCTGCCCACACGGCCAGTGTTCATTCCTCGCACACTGTTTGTTTCATTTTGTTTTACGTGTTTGTAAACCCGAGTTTGCAACTGTAATTGTTTACTGTTGCAAACCCGAGTGTGTGTCTCTTCAGTCAGCTGTTTCCTTGGGACTGCCTGCCTTCTGGCACACTCTGAGCTCCACAAGGGTGGAGACTGTCTGTCCTGGCCCTGACACAGAGCGTGCGGCCCGCATGTGGGTCTGCATGAGGACGTCGCCTGAGGTCCCAATGTGTCTTCAACCTCGGTCAAGGCCAGGCATGTCTAGACCCTCCTGGAAACATCAGATTCTCTGGGCAACTGCCTGTAACCAAGCTGTGGTCCCTTCTCTCAGGCACATGAAGGATCAGAATAAGAAGGTGGCCAACCTGCGGCACCACCAGCAGCTGGAGAAGAAGAGGAACGCCCAGTTACTGGAGGAAGCGCGCAGGCGAGAGGACAGCCTGGCCGACGACTCGCAGCACTTGCAGGTGAGCCCCACCGTCCTCACGGTACTGCCGTGCCCGGGCCTGGCGCTCCCGAGAGGTTGCGAAGGACGCGCAGAGAGGGCCCGCTGTCCTTTGCTGTGAATCCAGCACTCACAGTGCTTGCCCAGGGACACCAACAGGTCTGTCTGAGGGGTGGGGGGAGCTTCATTTTCAAAATGGCGCCCAAGAAAAGCTGACTACAGCGGAGCCTCCCATCTCTGATTTCCTATACCTCACGTGCAAAGGTAAGGGTTGCGTCTCTTACGTGGGCAAGAAGCTTAAGAGATAGAAATGTCTTCCTTTTAGGATATTGTATAATTTGCTTTTGGTTTGTAGAAGGGAAGCGCATGCCTGTTATCACAGAAGGTATTTGGGAAATGATGCATTGAGTTAATCACAGGCAGTTTATAAAACGTGTTCTGTTTTGTTCAACCTCTAAGACGGGATCATTATACTGTCTTTTCTGTGGAATATAGTTATCTCAGTGGAAGGCTCCCTATCTCAGAAACTGAAGAGCCGACTGAAAGCACCCATTTTTCCTCATTAACCATCACTATTTTTGGCAAAGCAGTTCTCCCCATGTGCTTAATAAAACATTCAAGCTAAAATAGGGCCTCTGCTTTGAAGTTCCTTTCTTTATGCCGGTGCCTTTACACAGAGCAGCTGAAGTTCTACTTGGCTGGAGCAAAGGTTGCATTGTGCTTATTAATTAGTGTCTCCGTGCAGTCGGACACCGGCTTTCCTCCTGCTGGAGGAGAGAAGAAGAGAGACAACTGTGGTAGGTGTGCACTCTCTATGGGTTTGTTATTGGTTTTCAATTGAACAGAGGAGAAGTAAGGCTCTTAGAGTAGGAAATGCCTCACCTGGGTCCTGACACCTCGGGGACACCCAGTCAACAAGAATGACTCTCCCTCTGGCCCTCTGGGAGTCCAAGGACCACCTTTGGGTGAGGCAGGAACTCAGTTGTCCTTAGCTTGCTCATAGCTTGTGGAAAGTCACATTCTGGGGAGATGAGACGCCAGTGAGTCTCAGATTTCCCATCTGCCATAGGACATATTGGATCGGGCCCTTCAGATGAATCCACTGGTCACCTAGAATTGGCAGGATATTTGACTCTCTTATTAGGCACACACGTTCACTTGTCCCTCCCAACAATTGTGGAGATCTACCCACTCTTATCAGACACATTTACAGATAGGCAAACCAGAGTCTGCAGAGTCTGAGTGCTACCCTGGGAAAGAGTCGATAGAGACAGGTGTGGCTACAGTTCCTCTCACCTTCAAGAACTAATGTAGAGGAACAATAAGAGCGTTGGGTGCTATTGATCGACCGCTTCAATATGCTGGACACATACTTTTAACAAACTCTTACTTTATTTAATTTCTATTATTATTGACTAAGGGAATTCGTGGACTCGGTTGCCTAAAAAGGCCAGAGGGGGACTTCGGTCCCAGCTGGCTCCAGATATTCGAATAGGAGCATCAGCAATCATCCCCCATGCAGCCCTCAGATGTGCTTTGCCTTGTTCTCAGGAAGACTCTCCATGAGCGGTGGCAATGGGTGCCACCAGCAAGCATCCTACATGTGACAAGAGCAGTCACCCCAAGGGGAGGAGACTTTTCTTTCTTAGTAAGTCTGGCCACAGTTCAAGGACTGATAAATGGCCAGACCAGGGTCATGTGGTCACCTGGAACATAGGAGGGAGAGGACAATCTCATCCAAATTAGAGACTGGAGACCGAGGTCCTCCCTTCAGAAGGAGATGTGTGTCACTATGGTCAACAGCTAGAGTAGCTCCTGTTGGCCCAGCTGCGTAGGACGGGAACGAGGCTCAGAGGCTGCGTCCGAGAGCAATTTCTAAGTGGCATAACTAGGACTCAAGCCCTTTGCTGACTGTCTTTAGATGCCGAGACGTCCAGACAACTGAGAAAAGACAATGTGTGAGTCTGGGTAGAATAGAGAAACAAATCCATAGACATGCATATGTGTATAAGAGAGAGTTTTATATAAAGGTTAGCTGTACATTAAGAAAGCATCCAAAACCCAGTCCAGTCCAAGCCCATAAGTCTGATTTTAGCCCATATGTCCAATACTAATTTATAAAGTCCTCTTCGGACTCATGAAACACATGCAATGACGCCAAGTGTAGGACGCTCACAGGCCAGTAGGTAGAAAGTCTTTGGATCCAGTGGCGTTGTAAGCATCTCAGCACTGGCAGGGTCTCCATGTGACTCCTCCAGCTCCCAGAGGTCTGGTCGCATCAGGGTAGATCCATGTGGCTTCTCCAGCTCCCAGGGTGTAGCACCCTGGGGCTTGTCAGCAGAGCATCATCTCCAAGGAAGTCAGCAGAGAGAAAGAGAGAGAGAGGTATGTGTGTGGGGGGAATCCCCCACCTCCAAAGAGGAAATCCCAGGAGTTTCCAGAATTCTCAGGAGAAGACCATGCCCACCCAGAGGCCTCATTGGTTATATCTTGATTGACAGGCCAGACTCCACCCCTTCACGTGTAATCCTCTCAAATTGACACCAGATGACATCACAACCGCAGACAATGAGATGAGAAGAGTGTAACTGAGAGCTGTTCTGGAACAGGAGGGGTTGAGCTGTGGGAGTGTGACATGGGAGGGGCAGGCACTGGGGAAGGCTTGGACGGTGCGGGCACACTTGGGGCACAGATCTGATCGGCCAATGGGTTGTGGCAGCTGCGCTCAGTGATGAGGAACAGAATGCTGCTGTGTCCCTTCTTTTCACCATGTCGGGGGCAAACACGCTTGGGTTTCACGGTTTACCAGCTGAGGCTCCTCTGGAGACGTCCTGAATTTCCCTAAGCCTCAGTTGCCTTGTGTGTGAACTGGGAATAGGAATGCATGTACTCGGTAGCGTGGCTGTGGAGAGGAAAGAGCCGGTGCATATGAAGAATTTAGAATTGCACTTGACACGCTGTTCACAGCAGGTGCTGACGACCGCGGTGATGGAAATAACAGGAAAGCTGAAAGAAGCATGCAAAGAGGACCCATTGTACACACGGTGGCCGAATCCACGCAGTTCTAGCCCATCCTTTATGGACACCAACGTTTTTGTCTTTCCTATATATAGCTTGCCCACCACCAAGGACATATCTGGTTATGGAAATTAATGTCTCATTGTTGTCTCATGAACTTTATTCTAGCAATATTTTTATAAGGGGCCTAGCTAGTGCACCATAGATTTACTCATGCACGATAGCATGGTCTGGAACTGCTTAGTTGCATTCCTGACCACCCCAACTGCAGGACAGCATCTGAAATGCAATAAAAAGTCATCATGATTAATTTTCATGAGAATCAGTCTGGTTAAAGTTAATAGAGAGTGAACCTTCACGTTCCTGGATTGTTAAGCACATATGCTCAGATGCTGTAATTACTGCATTCTGACCATAGAACTTTCCAGGGCACTTTGTTTTTAAATATTGCTGATATTTTGAGCCCTTCCCATTTATCATTGAAACGGTTAAAACTTTTAGCGTCAGTCAACCAGTATCTAGTTTGACAGTTGGGGTGTAGGTACCTACTGAATTTGACTTACTCTGTACTAGTGATGAATCCCCGACTTTGTGATTTTTAACTAGCCAAAAACATACTGTGTCCAGAACAATTTTAGGTACAAAATTACCTGCGACATGACGAGCTGTTGGCTCATGCACCAATGAAGCAATGGACGAGATGTGATGCATTTGTATTACGACTGGAGACATCGCATTGAATATAGAACTGACAAAGAATTGACTGTCTAAACCTAGAACACAATGGAAATAGGAAGGAAAAAAACCCTGGACTGTCTCTGGGAAGCCTAGATGGATAGTGACGCTAGGGACCGTCTATAAACCGAGATAGATAGTGACTCTAGGGACCATTTATAAACCTAGATAGTGACTCTAGGGACCTCTTATAAACCTCAATAGATAGTGACTCTAGGGACAGTTTATAAACCTAGATAGTGACTCTAGGGACCTCTTATAAACCTCAATAGATAGTGACTCTAGGGACCGTTTATAAACCTGGATAGATAGTAACTCTAGGGACCTTTTATAAACCTGGATAGATAGTAACTCTAGGGACCATTTATAAACCTAGATAGTGACTCTAGGGACCGTTTATAAACCTGGATAGATAGTGACTCTAGGGACCTTTTAGAGACCCAACCTTCTGCAGTTTTGTGCCAGACACAGTGCTTCCTGGGAGCAGCTATTAACATAAATAAGAAATGAGTTTGCATAGAAGAAAAGCCACGATGTCCGGCTCCTTTCACTTGCGCCTGGTAGTGATGCGTCTGGTAGTGATGACACGGGGATCTTGCATACTACACCCCCTAAATGCAGGGACGGGAAGTCTCCGTAGGCCATTGTCACAGATTTGCAGGCTGAGGGGCTTGACTGCCCTGGGTGGGCTTGGCTGAGTGCCTCTGCACAGTGACTGCTAAGTCTGGGGTTCCACACATGTTCATCCTCAGGCTCAGGATGGGGGCGCAGGAGTGGCCCCGGAGCCCTTAGGCGTCTGGCAGTTTCAGGAGTACCAGGGAGCAAGGGAAACCATTCGGGCCATGAAAGGCCCGGCGTTGACCCAGCAGGATGATTTCTACCATGTTTGTGCCCAAACTGGACCTGGGTAGAGTGCAGTCTGTTAGGGAAGCAGCAGCCTATATAAAAGAATGGAGAGGGGGAGGGGCTGCTGAATGTTTCCCTCAGGGTTCCGTAGAGAACCGTGTGTGAGAGAGGGAAATTCTGATGCCCACGTAGGACAGAGGAGACAGACCTTCTTGGCTGCAGTCTCTGCAGAAGCAGGTCGGTCAGCATGTCCTTTTCCAGTGGAACGACAGTGGCTTTGGACCACTCACCTTTGTGGTTCTGCGTTAGCAGCTGAGAGAGAAACACGGGCCTTGTGATCTAAGAAATTCACTCGTGTGATGGGAGGGGCTGAAAATCCAAAATCTGGATGTCGGGTGTCTGGAAACACCTACAGGCTTGTGT